GATAATGTTCTGCTGTAGTACTCCACGACATGTTCTTGTGAGTTTTGGATTTGTGAAAGGACAGCTCCAACACTTGCATCTGTGTCCAAAATCAACATGCCTTTGTAATCAGAATAGGACAACACTGGGCTCGTACATAATGCTCCTTTCAATTTTCTAAATGCGGAATCGCATTCTTGGGTCCAATTGAATGTTGATTTTTCTTCTGTCAATCGATGAAGTGGAGCAGCTATTTTGGCGAATCCTTCCACAAATCTTCGATAATAAGAACATAATCCTAGAAAACTCCTTAGTTCATGTTTGTCGCGTGGTTTTGGCCAGTCCCTGACAGCATCTATTTTTCCTTCCATAACTTGTATGCCCTCTTCAGATACCACGTGACCCAAGAATTCCACTTTCTTTTGAAATAGGAAACACTTATTTGGATTGAGTTTCAAGTTGACATTCCGGAAGCGGTCAAAAACTTCTTTTAGGTTATTGAGATGTTCTTGGAACGAATTTCCCATAATCATGACATCATCCAAATATACCAGGCAAGTTCTCCATGTAAGGCCTCGCAAAACAAGATGCATCAGTCGCTCAAACGTAGCTGGAGCATTACACAATCCGAAAGGCATTACATTAAACTGGTATAGTCCGCTACCGGTACTGAAGGCAGTTTTCTCTTTTTGTCATCGTCATGTATTGCCACTTGCCAGTATCCACTTTTGAGATCCAAGGTGGAAAACCATTTGGAGCCCGATAGAGTTGTTAGTGTATCGTCTATTCTTGGGAGAGGGAAGCTGTCCTTCTTGGTGACGTCATTAAGCTTTCGGTAGTCCACACAAAATCTAAGACTCCCATCTTTCTTCGTAACCAATACTACTGGCGCGGACCATGGACTATTTGACTCTTCAATGATTCCCTCTTGAAGCATTTTATCAATTTGGTTTTCCACTTCCTGTTGCTTCGCTACTGGCATACGTCGTGGTGGTTGTCTAATTGGGTGTGCCAATCCAGTATCAATTTTGTGTTGAATTAAGCTGGTTCGGCCGGTTTGATTGTCCATCACAAATACGTCTGCTTCTTTCAAAATGAAATCTGTGGCTTCTTGAAGTCTATCTGGATCGAGATGTTTCCATGATTTCGCCAAGGTCTGCATCAAGGTGTCTGTATCTAATTTGGATTTCACAAAATGTCGCTTATCTGGTAGGTCACAGTTCGATATTTGCTTCACTGGTTCGAGAGCTCCAATAATGTCTCCTTCTTTTATTCTTACTGTTTCGGAAGAAACATTGGCAATTCTTATCATAATGTCTCCATTTGTTCTTACTAGGGTCTTTCCAACAAGAAATCTTTCTGGTTTATCTCCAATGAAATTACGTGTTAGCCCAACGCAGCACCCAGGGTTTGTTTCTAATCTTCCGCAAATGATCTTCTCAGTACTTCCAGGAATCCTCACTGGGGTTGTGGCCAAGATCTTAACGGCATCGGATTCTTCTTGTGTTGTTAGGACAATTTCTTCATTACCAAATTTAAGGATGTTCATGGAAGGATCAAAAGAGAAACCATGTTGGCCGATCAAATCCATTCCCAAAATAAAATCATCTTCTATATCGGCGACTAATGTTTTATGCCTGAAGGTGGTAGATCCAAAAGTGAGTTCAACCATAGCTTCTCCTTGAACTGCTGCAGATTCGCCGGTGACTGTTCGTAGTGACAGGTTTCTAGTGAGCGGTTGGATTGCCCGAGACTTGACTAATGTTCTTTTAATTATGGAAACTTCAGCACCCGTATCAAAAGTAATGGTTTTCAATTCTCCATTAATTTGTCCTTCGAATTTTAATCCTCTATAATGACTGCCCAATGATTTTATGTAAACAACCCTGGGGGCTTCGTCATTACTAACCAGCATTCGCCCCTCCATACTGGTTAGTTCTCGTTTCCCTGTCTGTTATTAGGGCTGGCGTCTCTCGATCTCGAAAAGCGTTGGAAACGATCCCTTGATGGAGAGGACATCCTCACTCTACAATCTCGTTGAATATGCCCAAGTTTATGGCACCGGTAGCACTCTATTCGGTTTCTCGGGGTTGGTGTTTGTCTGGAATCGTTTCCCATTTTTCTATCTTCTAGTAACAGTTTCTCCATTCTCTCCATGAAATTACTCATTTTAGTTTCGAAGCTACCATCCTCTTTTGACAACTGTTTATCTTTTGGGTCTTCAATGGACACTGCTCGTATTCTGGGTCGTGAGGCACCAAAGATTGCTTCCAGTTCTAATGCTCGGACAAGGGCTTCGCTACTTTGTCTGAACTTGGACATTCTTAGGTTTTCCTGGATCTTCGAATCTCTGAGACCATCAATAAACGCAGATACTGCCATCCATTCCTGCATGTCTTCCCCAGCTGCAGGAAACGCCAAACTCACTAGCCTTTTAACTTCCGATTCGAATTCTTGTAGACTCTCGTCGGGTTTTTGAACTCTTGATTTAACTTGAGTTCTGAATACTTCTTGTCTGTAATGGTCTCCAAAGCGCAGTTCTAAAGTTTGACTAAGATGCTGGTAATTCTGTTGGTAGATTGAAGGAATGGACTGAAGAAGATCTAAGGCTGGTCCTCGTAGCGCCACTATCAGTGCTGTAGCTTTTTCTTGATCGTTCCATCCGTTGGTATTTGCAGCAGCTTCAAATTGTCGAATATACATGGTCCAGGACGTAGAGCCGTCGAAAGTTGGTGGTTTTATCTTCATACTGGAGAATGCTCCAACACTAGCTGAATTGATGGACTGTATTTCTAATCTACGCATCTTTTCTTCGAGTGCTTGAACTTGGTACTCAACTTCTTGTCTTAATTGCTGAACATCGGTTTTGACTTCAGCTTTTACTTCTTGAACGTCGTGTTTAACTTCTTGCACATCGTCTTTAACTTGTTCAATCTTCTGGTCTAGGTTAACGACAGTTCCTTGTATGGTTTGGAATATTTTCTGTAGTCTTCCAAGGTCCTCCTGCCGTTCTTGTTGTCGCTTAGCTTCTTCTTGTTGTCGCCTAGCTTCTTCTTGTTGTCGCCTAGCTTCTTCGTCCTGTTTTTCTTGTTGTCTTCTAGCTTCTTCGTCTTGTTTTTCTTGTTGTCGTCTGGCTTCCTCGTTTTTTTTTTCTTGTAGTCGTCTAGCTTCTTCGTCTTGTTTTTCTTGTTGTCGTTTGGTCTCTTGAAGTTCCAACATTTTGCGCAGAAGTTCTTCAACTTTTTGTTCGTCCATTTTGGCTTGTTGTCTTGTGATAGGCATATACAGAATGTTCTAGAATTTCCCTCGAACTGTCTTCAAATATCTTTTCTGGTCTTTGCTCGAAGTTCCAAACACGCCGGTGAAGTCACAAATTGGATAACTTGCTTTATTCTAGAATAGAATGTTCTGGAATTTTCTTGAAACTTCTTTTCTAGATGTCGATTGATACAGCAAATACGTCGGTGAAGTCACAATTTCGATATCTCCTTTGGTTTCCAAATAGAATGTTCTAGAATTTTCCCGAAACTCCTCGAAAAACCTCTTCTGAATGACGATTGATGTTCCGAATACGTCGGCGAAGTCACAAATTCGATATCTCCCTTAGTTTCCAAATAGAATTTTCTAGAACTCACTCGAAGATTCACTATCACAGTCTAAATCGGGTATAGAGTCACTTCCGGGGTAATTCACACGATCGGTTAAGTCTCTTTTTGTGATTGTCACTATTTGCACTGCACTAACTGTCCCAGTGTTCACGTAGTGTTCAGTTTTTATACTACACTAGTGTCCCCGCACTTCCGTAATTGGATTTCACTCTGCAGTCCTTTATATCCCACTCCTGACACCACTGTCGCGGCTTTGGGTTGCCTGCTGACAAAAATCTTAGGTTCGTTGTTCGTTTCGTTTATTCCAAAAATCAAAGTCCAATTAACACAGAAATAATTTATTCCGCTTAACAAAACACTCTGACACTAATTACTTTATTAACAAACTCAACAATTAAACTCTTTACAATCAATATTTAAATCGTATCACACTCGAACTGAAACTAACTTACAAACCAATGCCGGCCTTCTTATATATCCCTAAATCTATTCCTGTGAAATCTAGAATACACACGATAATCTAATTTTCCAGATTAAAGGAGAATAATTCGCTAGATTCTAATATTTCCACGATCGATTCTTGACAGCCTGGCGGACGTTTAGCTTATTGTGACAATATTATTGAATAAAAAAGGACAAGCGCAGATAAACAAAAACTGCTCAACTTCTGTTTGGGTTTTTTTTTTTGAGAAAATGGTTTAGCCTTGGTTGATGTGTGAAAGCGCCTAACTTTTGATAGGAATAAATGGCCTACTTGATAAAAAAAATTACCAGTAAGTTTATTTGTCTGTGTTTAACTGTATTAATTGAAGAAAGACCAACAAAATGGTTGGACAAAGACAGTTTACAAACTTTTACCAAAACATTACTCCTTTAAACGCCATCTTTAATCAGCAACAACTGACGCTGTCAAAATTGAAGCTTTTTTTTGATGAAGTGAAATAGACCGAAAGCACCGAAAGTTGATATTTGACACACAAGTTGTCAACTGTTAAGTGTCAAGTCCATAGAGTTTGTTCGCTCAAACTTTTTAAAATGCTCCTATTGTTTTGTAAAAATAAGGCAAAGATAATTTTACTACAACTTGAAACCTAGAGAGAAATCTTTAGGTACACTTGACCAAACATAAAACTGGTACGCATTTTCCTATTGTATTGTGTTGTGTAAATCGATCTTTTTTTATCACCTTAACAATGACAAAAAAAGTCAAGTCAGTGTCATATTTAAACCAATCATAACATAAAAACATGTTGCATTTCCTTTTGTTCAGGTTTGACGTTGACAAAAACTGTCTGTTTTGTTTTTCAGAACACTTTTTGTTGTTAAGCCTGACTCACACTAGGCAAATTTAAAAAATATATATTGCCTGTATGTTTTATGTTTGGCCAAGTGTACATTCCAGTTAAATTGAAAAAAACTTTTTAGGATTTATATTTATTTTGCAACAACACTGTAAAAAATGATTTTTCTCATTGTTCAAATGTGATTTCATAAAAATCACCAAAGACAAAATCCGCCGAGCAATGCGGAAGTGTCGGCTTAAAACCTAAGAGAAAGAAATACCCAAGCATAATCGGGTATTACACCATATTTTTATAATGGCCGAATTGAATTAACCCAAAACTCATCTTAAAGGATTATGATAATCTTCACAGAAAAAAAAAGAAAAAACAAAAATGCGTAACTCACATCCTAGTGGGGCTTTCGATATAAAATTGCCAAACGGATTTTTCGATTTTGTAGTTTATTAGTGAGTTTATTCGGAAATCGATAATACAATGTTGCGGTTTAATGTAAGTAAAAAAAAAATTGTATTATAGAATGGCGGATTCTTGCATATTATTGATGACACAGCATTATCATTCAAAGATCCGTGACATTTTATCAAGGAAACAATCGCTGCTGGAAATTTTAAATTAGTATTTTTGAGTCATCTAGGATGTTTGATTATTTATTTTTTCTTTATAGATATTGCTAGCTTTAAGTTGCCTGTCTAGCTGTAGTAGTCAAGCTACTGGAGATGGTTCAGCTAAAATTCTACAATACGATTTCCAGCCAAAAGGAGGCGCCCAATATCAATTCAAGTAAGATTTTCCCTTGACATTTTTCCAATCAATGACATGTTTCATTCTGAAAAAAACAAACAATTGTTTTAAGATCACTTGTATATCATGCGTCATTTGAGATTTTAGAAAGGTAAATACTCAATTATACAAAAATCTTCAGTTCAAAATCCATTTTTTATGCACACAATATGTTAATTCAATTAAAGATGAAAGTGTTGACCCTGATGAAATAAATCATCAAGTGTCATTAGCTCCTACGCAATCTCCTTTGAAAGCTAAAAAGAAGATATCTACCAAAAAATAATTATTGGTAATGTAGTTTGGGATTTTCCTTTCCTAGATTCATTACTGGTAATAAGCTATTTTTAAGAGTTACAAGATTCAATAATGCATAATTTATTAATGCCAATTTTCTCTTATATAACCGAAAATTCCTTATATGTGAATAGACGAACAAATGGATACTACTACTAACCTCATTTATGTATCACATAATATTTTCAATGACTGTTACGTATTACGTAAAGAATACCATCTTGACCTATTAGTATTTTAAATAACGTAAATGTGCTACATTATAATTTTTAGGTATTTTTCAATCAAATTGTGTCTATTCCTGGCTCTTGAAGTTAACTGTCAAATTGTACAAGGAAGTATTTGTCAAATAATTGTGCATGTGTCAATCCATGGCCAACTTGATGGCATATTTTTCCAGAAAGTACCTTTTAACTGTATTAATTGAAGAAAGACAAATAATAAAAATTTCTTTTTGATCGATTTTTATCTATTCACGGCTCTTGAAGTTAACTGTCAATTTGTACAACAAAGTATTTGTCAAATAATTGCGCATGTGTCAATCCATAGTCAACTTAATGGCATATTTTTCCAGAAAGTCTCTTGTCACTCTCAATAATTGGAAAACGAGGGCCGATGACGGACTGTCAATTCAACAAATGATAAAGATTTCTTTTCAATACATTTCTGTCTATTCCCGGCTCTTGAAGTTAACTGTCAAATTGTACAACGAAGTATCTGTCAAATAATTGTGCATTTGTCAATCCATGGCCAACTTGATGGCACATTTTTCCAAAAAGTCCCTTGTCACTTTCATTAATTAGAAAAGGAGAGCCAATGACGGACTGTCAATTCCACAAATAATAAAGATTTCTTTTCAATCAATGTTTGTCTAGGCCTCGCTCTTGAAGTTAACTGTCAATGTTCACTTGTGTCAATTTGTACAACGAAGTATTTGTTAAGTAATTGTATACATCATGTATGTGACAATCCATGGCTAACTTGATGGCACATTTTTCCAGATATCTCTTGTTACCTACTCTTATTAATTAGAAAAGGAGGGCCGATAACGGACTGTCAATTCAACAAGTAATAAAGGTTTCTTAGCAATCAATTAGTGTCTATTCTCCACTTTTCAAGTAAACACTTTTAATGATCACTTCTGTCAAATTGTATAACAAAGTATTTATGAAATGATTGTGCATGTGTCAATCCATGACCAACATAATCTTTCAGAAAGTCTCTTGTCACTATCATTGAATAGAAAAGGAGGGCTGATAACGGACTGTCAATTCAACAAATAATAAAAGTTTCTTTTCAATAAATTTCTGTCTATTCCCGGCTCTTGGAGTTAACTGTCAAATTGTACAACAAAGTATCTGTCAATCCATGACCAACTTGATGGCATATTCTCCCAGAAAGTTTCTTGTCCCTCTCATTGATTGGAAAAGGAGAGCCAATGACGGACTGTCAATTCAACAAGTGATGAAGATTTCTTTTGAATCAATGTTTGTCTATGCCTGGCTCTTGAAGTTAACTGTCAATGGTCACTTCTGTCAATTTGTACAACGAAGTATGAATCAAATAATCGTATACATCATGTATGTATCAATCCATAGCCAACTTGATAACATATTTTTCCAGAAAGTCCCTTGTCACTCTCATTGATTAGAAAAGAAAGACCGAAGAATGATGGGTCAATCCAACAAATAATAAAGATTTCTTTTCAATCCATTTTTCCCGGCTCTTGAAGTTAACTGTCAATTTCCAAAACGAAGTATTTGTCAAATACTTGTATACATCATGTATGTGTCAATCCATGGTCAACTTGATGGCATATTTTTCCTGAACGTTTCTTGTCGCTCTCATTAATTAGAAAAAAAGGCCGATGATAATAATAGAAAGTTCTCGTGCCTCAGACGCTACGCTAATACGGTACCGCTAACAATACGGTATTTCACATGGTATTTTATAGTTCTCGGACGCGAAAACACATAAATCCTCTAATCCGTTATTCTGGTTACATTTTGACAGCAATGACAGCTGAGTTAAGTGATCTAATGGCCGTTTCCACCCAAGGACAATACACACTCTAAGGAGTGCTTATGGGCCTCGTTTTTGGTAATCGACGCCATATTGGTTTTCAACTATTTTCAACCATTGCCGACGTCATAACTAAGTCGTCAGCTGTTTAAACAGCCTACGTCAAGGCGAGAAACGCCATGCTGCCTACGTCACAACTAGTTGTTTGGCGTGGCGGGGTAGGGGGGGATTTGTTACACACAGGCCTTATGAGGATAGGCCATCCTGTAGTAGTAGTGTGTAGCAACTTCTAATAATTTCTCCACAATACACCAAGGGAAAATTAATGAAGCTCAGGAATCTTGAGGATAAATAAGAGTTAGAAAACAAGCAAAAAAAGTTGGGTTATGGCCATTTCCACCAACTATTTTAGGAGACCCTTACGATAAGTATTCCCTAAAATGTAATTTTTACATAGAGAAATGCCAGTTTAAGATTAGGGATTCCCTAAAATAGTTGGTGGAAATGGCCATAACCCAACTTTTTTTGCTTGTTTTCTAACTCTTATTTATCCTCAAGATTCCTGAGCTTCATTAATTTTCCCTTGGTGTTTCGTGGAGGAATTATTAGAAGTTGCTATTTTTGCAAACTTAAATGGAGCGCAAACTCTAGTTTTGACATAGCATAGCGTTACGGTAAGGCATTCGCTAAGTTCCGTTAGATAGCGGGCTCCGCTAACGCTAATACCGTAAGAACTATCATACTTGTCAAATAGCGTTACGGTATTTGAAATTTGGACGGCACGAGAACTCTCTAATGAAAATTTCTTTTCAATCAATTTTTATCTATTCTCGGCTCTTGAAGTTAACTGTCAATGGTCACTTCTGTCAATTTGTCAAATAATTATCCATGGCCAACTTGATGGCATATTTTTCCAGAAAGTCTCTTGTCACTCTCATTGATTAGAAAAGGAAGGCCAATGATGCACTGTCAATTCAACAAGGAGTAAAGATTTTTTTTCAATCAATTTTTGTCTATTCTCAGCTCTTGAAGTTAACTGTCAATTCATAAAACAAAGTACCTATTTGTCAAATAATTGTTCATGTGTCAATCCATGGCCAACTTGTTGGCATATTTTCCCAGACAGTCTTTTGTCCTCTCATTAATTAGAAAAAGAGGGCCGATGGCAGACTGTCAATTCAACAAATAAAAAAGATTCCTTTTCAACCAATTTTTGTCTATTCCCGACTGTCAATAATCACTTATGTCAATTTGTACAATTGTCAAATAATTGTGCATGGGTCAATCCATGGCCGACTTGATAGCATATTTTTCCAGAAAATCTCTTGTCACTCTCATTGATTAGAAAAGGAGGACCGATGACGGACTGTCAACTCCACAAATAATAATCAATTTTTGTCTATTCCCAGCTCTTGAAGTTAACTGTCAATAATCACTTCTGTCAATTTTGTACAATTGTCAAATAATTAATTGTGCATTTGTTAATCCATGACCAACTTGATGATACTTTTTTTAGAAAATCTCTTGTCACTCTCATTGATTAGAAAAGGAAGGCCGATGACAGTATGTCAATTCTAGTGCTGGCAAATACCAAAAAAAAATTTAAACCGATTAATCAGTTTCTAAAAAAAACCGGTTCCGGTTAAAATCGATTTACCGAATACTCGATTGTGAAACGTAAAACGATTACTTAGATAAATCAGTTACCCGATTACTCAAAAATCAGTTAACCGGTTTTCGGTTAATCACTACTCGATTAACCAAATTTGTTTCCGGTTAACCGTACTGCGTTCTTGGCTCAAACCGGTATTAGATTAACCGCGGTTTAAACGAATCAAAAACCGATTATTCGATTAATCTATTTTCGAATAATAGGTTTTCGGATAACCGAAGGTTTGGACTAAGAGTTAATTTTTCTTGAGAATACATTAGGCTTTTCTCATTAATTCATGGAGTTTTGTTTTGATTTAGTACTTTCAATTCCAGACTTCAGTCAGGCAGTTTCTGATAGGTTAGTATTCGGTTTTCGGTTAATTGAAAACCGAAAACCAATTATTCCGGATCCGAGTAACAATATCCAGTATTTCGGTTTAAGCCAAATCCCCGTTAACCGGAAACCGATACCTGGAAATCGATTGACCGGATAACCGATTTTCGGTTTGGGTAAAAACTGCAGTTATCCAAAAACCTGTTAAAATCCGATTAACCGAATAACCGGCTTTCGGTTTTGAGTAAAAATCGGTTTCAGTTGTCAGCCCCAGTCAATTCAACAAATAATAAAGGTTTCTTTTCAATCAATTTTTGTCTATTCTCGGCACTTGAAGTTAACTGTCAATAATTACTTCTGTCAATTTGTACAATTGTCAAATAATTGGGCATGTGTCAATCCATGGCTAACTTGATAGCATATTTTTCCAGAAAATCTCTGGTCATACTTTCATTAATTAGAAAAGGAAGGCCGATAACGGACTGTCAACTCCACAAATAATAATCAATTTTTGTCTATTCCCGGCTCTTGAAGTTAACTGTCAATAATCATTTCTGTCAATTTTGTACAATTGTCAAATAATTGTGCATTTGTCAATCCATGGTCAACTTGATAATATTTTTTTCGGAAAATCTCTTTGTCACTCTCATTGATTGATTAGAAAAGGAAGGCCGATGACAGGCTGTCAATTCTAGTGCTGGCAAATACCGAGAAAAATACAAACCGATTGAAATCGCTTAACCGAATACTCGATTGTAAAACGTAAAACCGGTTGACCGATTACTCGAGAACTAGTTAAACGATTACTCGAATAAATCAGTTACCCGATTACTCGAAAATCAGTTAACCGGTTTTCAGTTAATCGCTACTTGATTAACCGGTTTGTTTTCGGTTAACCGCACTGCATTCTTGGCTCAAACCGGTTATCGATTAACCGCGGTTTAGACGAACCAAAAACCGATTATTAGATTAATAGGTTTTTGGATAACCGAAGTTTTGGAATAGAAGTTTATTTTTCTTGTGAAAAAATTAGGCATTTCTCATTAAATTCATGGAGTTTTGTTTTGATGATTTAGTACTTTCAATTCCCGACTTCAGTCAGGTAGTTTCTGATAGGTTTGTATTCTAGGGATGTCAATTTTTTTAAAAACACCGGTTTTTCCATTAACCGGTTAATTTACTAAGAGTTTAAACTGCCCAGTTATAAGTGATATAAAACACCAGTTATCCCGATTAACTGGTTGTTCGGTTATTTTTCCGAATAATATCAAAATAATTGCATAATTTATATAAGCTTTTTTTCATCACAGCAGGAAACCGTACAATGTATCGTTATGATTCTGCGCAAAGTCTGAAATTTGGGCGTAGGATCCGAAATTCGTATACAGAGTGCAAGGATAATACATACTACACAGAATTGCTTATCGGTCTCGTGTATTTGGTAATCGCGGCCATATTGTGTAGCACCATTGACGACGTCATCAACTTCGTCGTCAGCTATTTGCGCCAGCGGTCGTAGTTTAGAATATACACTTATGATGAAAAATATTATTTAATTTTGATTAACATAATTGGCAAAGAGGAAAATGCAAAGGAGATCTAACAAAGAGTTGTTTTAAAATGTTAATCAATGTAGTAAAACCAAGTATGCATAAAGCAAGAGCCCGCAGAATCATAAGCTGTGTTGCAAACACCCTACATCAAAGCGAGAAACTACACGCTGCCTACGTCATCACTGGTTCTTTAGTGTGGTAAAGGGTTTGAGATTTGATTTATACAGGCTTTACGAAGATAAGCTATCCTGTAGTAGTGTGTGTGTAAAGAGTAGTTTACAAACCGTTCATGGGATGTATGTGGTCATCGGACGGTTTTTGACGTGTTGGAACAGACTCATAATGTAGTCTATGTGTTTCTTTTTTTCAATTTTACCGGTTATTAGATAAAACCCGGTTATCCGGTTATAACTGGAGGCAAAAAACAACTGGTTTTAACCGGTTAACCGAAAAGAAAGTACAGGTTTTTTTGTTTTAACCACCGGTTATTGACATCCTTATTGTATACCTATTCGGTTTTCAGTTAACTGACAACCGTTTAACCGAAAACCAATTAACCGGAAATCGAGTAACCGATTAACCGACAACCGAATAATAGTATCCAGTATTTCGGTTTAAGCCAAATCCCCGGTAATCGGAAACCGATACCTGGAAATCTATTAATCGGATAACCGATTTTCGGTGTGGGTAAAAACTACGCAGTTAACCGAAAACCGATTACCCAAATCACCGATTTTCGGTTTGGGTAAAAACCGCGGTTGACCGTAAACCGGTTAACCGATTAACCGAAAAATCGGTTTCAGTTGCCAGCCCTAGTCAATTCAACAAATAATAAATTTTCAATCAATTTTTGTCTATTCCCGGCGCTTGAAGCTAACTGTCAATTTGTACAATTGTCAAATAATTGTGCATGTGTCAATCCATGGCCAACTTGATGGAATATCTTTCCAGAAAGTCGTTGTCACTCTCATTGATTAGAAAAGGAAAACCGATGACGGACTGTCAATTCAACAAATAATAAAGATTTCTTTTTAATCAATTTTTGTCTATTCTCGGCTCTTGGAGTTAACTGTCAATTTGTACAACGAAGTATTTGTTAAATAATTGGGCATGTGTTAATTCAAGGCCAACTTGATGGCATATTTTTCCAGAAAGTTTCTCGTCACTCTCATTAGATTAGAAAGGGAAAGACGATGACAAATAATAAAGATTTGTTTACGATCAATTTTGGTTTATTCCCGTCTCTTGAAGTTAACTGTCAAATTGTACCAAGGATGATACATACCTACAAGGATTGCTTATCGACCTCGTTTTTGGTAATCGCCCAAGGTTGTTTGAGAAAGGTAGGTTGTCTGATATCCTAATGACGTCATATGTATGCTTTGAACATAATGCAAATCTCCATAAGGCACCCGCACCCCAGATGCGTCATCAAGTTACCCATTACCAGGTAACCTATTAACTAACTAAACAAATTGGTGTATTACCATTTCCGACGTCATAACTAAGTAATCAGCTGTTTAAACAACCTAGTTCAAGGCAAGAATAACATGCTGCCTACGTCAAAACTGGTAATTTGGCGTAGGGGGAATTTATTACACCCGGGCCTTATGAAGATAGGCAATCCTGTAGTAGTAGTATGTATCCTTTTTGAAATTGTACAACGAAGTATCTGTCGAATAATTGTGCATCTGTCAATCCATGGCCAACTTGATGGCATATTTCTCCAGAAAGTCTCTTGTCACTGTCATTGGATTAGAAAAGGAGGGCCGATAACGGACTGTCAATTCAACAAATAAATGAGATTTCTTTTTAATCAATTTTTGTTTATTCCCGGCTCTTGAAGTTAACTGTCAATGGTCACTTCTGTCAAATTGTACAACGAAGTATTTGTCGAACAATTGTGCATGTGTCAATCCATTGCCAACTTGATGGCATATTTTTCCAAAAAGTCTCTTGTCGCTCTCATTAGATTAGAAAGGGAAGGCCGATGACAGACTGTCGATTCAACAAATAATAAAGATTTGTTTTTAATCAAATTTGCGCTATTCCCGAATCCCAACTCTTGAAGTTAACTCTCAAATTGTACCAAGGATAATACGCACCTAAAAGAATTGCTTATCGGCCTGGTCTCTGATAATCGCCTCCATATTGGTGTATTACCATTTCCAACGTCATAACTAAGTGATCAGCTGTTTAAACAGCCTACGTCAAGGCGAGACATAACATGCTGCCTACGTCACAACTGGTAATTTGGGGGTAGGGGGGGATTTGTTACATACGGGCCCTATGAGGATAGGCCATCCTGTAGTAGTAGTGCGTATCATCCTTGAAATTGTACAACGACGTTTCTGTCGAATAATTGTGCATGTGTCAATCCATGGCCAACTTGATGGCATATGTTTCCAGAAAGTCTCTTGTCGCTCTCATTGATTAGAAAAAGACGATAAACTGTCAATTTAACAAATAATAAAGATTTCTTTCCAATCAATGTTTGTCTATTTTCGGCTCTTGAAGTTAACTGTCAATGGACACTTCTGTCAAATTGTACAACAAAGTATTTGTCAAATAATTGTGCATGTACCAATCCATCAAGGATGATACACACTACTACTATAGGATGGCCTATCTTCATAAGGTCTGTGTGTAACAAATCCCCCCTTCCCCCTACGTCAAATTACCAGTTGTGACGTAGGCAGCATGTTATTTCTCGCCTTGACGTAGGCTGTTTAAACAGCTGACGACTTAGTTATGATGTCGGAAATGGTAACACACCAATATGGCAGCGATTACCAAACGAGGCCGATAAGCAATTCTTGTAGTTGTGTAATTATCCTTGCCAATCCATGGCCAACTTGATGGTATATTCCTCAAGAAAGTTTCTTGTCACTCTCATTGATTAGAAAAGGAAGGCCGATGACGGACTGTCAAATCAATAAATAATAAAAAGATTACTTGTCAATAATTTTTTGTCTCTTGAAATTAACTGTCAATGATCACTTCTGTCAATTTGTACAATTTTCAAATAATTGGGCATGTGTCAATCCATGGCCAACTTGATGACACATTTTTCCAGAAATTCTCTTAAAATGTTGGAACACTGATGATAAAATGATACAAAAACATATTTTTTTCCATATAAAACAAAACTTTTCGAATATTTCCCAGTTACGAAACTAGCAACGGCATAAAAAGAGAAGAATCTGGAGACGAAATACCATCGATACACGATGCCAACAACAATGCCGCACAAGTTAGAGGCTCATTTTCATATCCTGGACCTGACGGCAAAATGTACAGTGTAACTTTTCTGGCTGACGAGGCTGGATTCCATCCAGAAGGAGATCATTTACTGGTAAGCACTCGGTGAGCAAATTTCAATAGATTTTGTAATTTGTTTTTAATTCCAGATTCCTCCATTCACTCCCTGGATACCCGGTCAACCCATCGATGACGGCAAATACAACCCAGACAATTCCGGACAATATAAACCGGATAATTCTGGAAAGTACCGTCCTGAAAATGGCGACGGACAAGATAGTCCCATCGTTTTGGATGCAAGAACTCCAGTTAATCCTACTTTTCCAAATAATAATTTTGGAAATGATGGTTCTCCTAAAAGCAATGTAGCACCTCAAAAGCCTGGATTCCAGCCTGTCAATGCTGTTTCTCCACCTGTAATTCCAGCGACAAATGGAAATGAAACTGAGTCACCTTTGATGGACTCTGGAAAGGTACGATTTTTTTTTTTTAAATAATGAAATTTACAAAGTATTTTTCCAGGATCAACCAAAGTATACTTCAGGTGAACGTATCCTGAACACATTCCGTAGTACTCCTACAACTACTCCAAAATATCTGCCAACTGTTGAACCTCAAAAAACCCAATACATTTCCGGAGAAAATATCCTTGACACGTATTTGTCGCCTAAAAAACTGCCTTCTACAGTTACTGCCAAATATTTACCAGCTTCAAGTACCCCACAAGAAGTGTATAGGGAATCTTCCAGGCAAACGCCCAAGTATTTGCCCAGTTTCACTTCTACAACAGAAACTCCTTTGGACAAGGATATCATCCGGAAGGCTTACTTCAACAAACCGACTCCGCATCCAGAAATTTCGTTGCATTCAACTCCGGAAAGTAATCAATAGAGATTTTATAGATTTTGTTATACAAAGCCACCAAAGAGGTATTAGTTGTTAATTTGTGATTGTTATATTTTGTACAGAGATTTTATTTTTTTTGAAATATAAATACATTGTTATATGAATATTTGAATTTCGCGCCCCTATACCTGAGTGACATTTAATGGGGAATTACCCAATTCAAGATGGCGACGTAGGCATAACAAACTTATTACCTTTACATTCAATTTCAATTGATTGCAATTTGAATGTAAACGTAGCTTTACGATTGCAAGTTCGTTATGTCCACGGCGCCATATTGAATTTTCAGAACGTCAAATCGCCCCCTATTTGGCAGCTCTATGACGTCATAAATACGATTGAGATGTCCTCTTTTCAAGTCCTTGCCTCCATCAGTAGATACTTTTTATTATAGTATTTGTTTTCTAAGGCAAATGAATGCAACAAAGACAGAAGTGTGTGTTAAACAGAGAGAGCGATTTTGAAATTTTTGCGGGAATGAATAAGTAAGTACAGAGCATTTTGAATTTTTCCTTAAAATGTCTCAAAATAAATTGGTTTTGAAATAAAATTAGATACAGATTACAAAAATTAAGAATCTAATTATTCAAATACATATCGATAAATTAATTAATTAATTCACATATTAAATTCAGTTAATCCGATTTATATATATTTTTGACAAAAATTTCAAAATCCATCGAAAAGTGATACAAGGAAAGGCCAACCAACATCGATTTATTCAGTTGTGTGTGGAAATACAATAAAAATTTACAAGAGTTTATCAATAATAATTATTCACTTATTATAATTATTATTATCACAATATGTACTTTTTAATTGTTTAATTGCAATACAAATTAAAATTCCTTATTGATGACAATAAATAAACAATCATTCTGCAATAATTATTGATCTATTTTAATTCAAAACTAATAAATACATTATACAATCAAAACCGAATGCCAAGGATATTTAAACAAAATTATTCTCAAAAAAAAAGGTTAATACATTTTTGAATAATTTTGAAATTCTATAGTAGGTAAACTAATACAATATATTATGTAATAATTACTTATCCTTGACATTCACTATAGTTAAAAGAGACGCTTTTAGCAATTATATAAATTTAAAATAATTGTTCACTAGCACATAAAATTGATTTATATCTAATAAACATAAATACAAAAATGCTCAACAGGAATTTTTGTATATATTATTTTAGAAGTTCTCTCAGGCCAAACATTTTTGCAACAATGTAAAATAATTGATAGGTATTTCAATAAAATTTCATTATTAGGTAGACAGTACTTTGTAAAGGTTTCTGTATGTTTTTATTTAGAAAAAAAACGAAGATTTGAGAGCCTGCCATAACAATAGGTATGGGAATTGCCTTGGCAGTAGGTACATTAAAGCCAGCAACCAACCAATTTCCCAGATTTAAATCCCATTGATTATTCCGTTATAATCGTTAAAAGTTCAAAACTACAATTATTCTATCGGCTCTTGAATATTTTTGGTCTTTTTCTATTCAATAGAATTGAAAAGGGATAGATAGACTTATTATGGCGAAATCTTTTATCAAGTAGGCCATGCATTCACTAAAGCAACTGTCAAAATTCAAGCGCTTCCTAACATTCACCAGCCATACTGTTTATTGCCTTGGCAGTAGGTACATTTAAATCTGCAACCAACCAATTACCCAGATTTAAATCCCATTGATTATTCCGTTATGATCGTTAAAAAGTTCAAATTTTCATTTATTTTCGGCTCTTGATTTTTGTTTGGTCCTTTTCTAATCAATAGAATTGGAAAGAGACAGATAGACTCACTGGCAAGTAGGCCATGGATTCACCAAAGCAACTGTCAAAAGTAGGGCGCTTCCTAACATTCATCAAGACGTACCGTTTTAACCAAAAAAAAGGTAGTGTTATGTCTATCTTTTTTTATTCAATTATATTGAAATGAGACACTTTGACTTTCTAGTGAACATTTTAACAAGCTGGCAATGCATTTCAATTATTGATATTTCGTTTCTTTTCAATCTTTCCTATTAATCACCTGAAAAGAGACAGATATATTTTGTTTCAAAATATTTTATCAGGGTGGCCATCTTGTTTTTATTGGCGGCCCTCGAATTATTCAAATCAAGATTTAGGAATAATCAAAATTATCGATTTTAACTTATTGATTCATTGAACTTTGAGAATGTTGCTACATGTCACAAGATTATGTTAATGTCAATGAATGGCGTCTGTATTTGATGAAATGTTTCAAATTTTCATTATATGCGGATCTTGAATTCAAATCAAAAGACAAGAAAATGAGGACGGAGGAAATTTTTCACCAAATTCAAAATTTGTGCAGTTTCAACCCCTTGCTATTCAAGGATAGTAGTACACACTACTACACAGTAGGTGGGAATCGCAGCCATATTGTGTAGCACCATTGATGACGCCATCAACTAAATCGTCAGCTGTTTGCGCCAGCGGTCGTAGTTGCCAAGTATGCATAAAATAAATGCCCGCGGAATCATAACCTGTGGTGCTGCTACGTCATCACTGGTTTTTAGGCGTGGAGGAGGGGGGGGCTTGAGATTTGATCTACACAGGCTTTATGAGGATAAGCTATCCTGTAGGAGTGTATATTATCCTTCCTATTCTATTTTTTACTTTATCTCTGTCTCTTCCACCCGTTTAATATCTATTGGTTTTATGTCACAAATTTTTATTTTCTACCTTACATACGTTTTTTTCTTATTCATTGTGTTTCTTATGTCATTTCTCACTCTGTCATTTCCAGCTTATGATTGGGTCACTCGAGCGCCAGAAATACCCAGCAATTAACGTCACATATTTTTTATTCTCACTTTATCTCTGTCTCTTTCTCACTTATTCAATTTTCTATATCGCTTTCTCTTACTTTATTATTCTAGGCTCTTAATTGGTCGAACAAGGAAATTACAGGGTCACTCAAGCGCCAGGAATAATGAACATATTGTGTCATTCTATTATACCTACATCTCTGTCTACATCGATATCTTTCTCAGACTTTCTCTTATTATTCCAGGCTTTTGATTCGTCAGATACAAAAGTTACATACAAGTCCACTCAAGCGCCGAGAATAATCGAAATTCGTGCCACAAATTTTTCACAAATTTCCTTTTCCTGTTTCACATCCATCTCTTTCTTACTCATTGTGTTTCCTATGTTGTCTCTCATTTTCTTATTTCAGGCCTGAGTCACTGGAGTGAATTTCCAAAAATTAGCGTCACATTTTTCTATTCCTACTTTATCTCTGTCTCTCTCTTACTTATTCAATCTTTTATATCGCCGTCTTTCACTTACTCTATGAATTTCCATTTCCTACTTTATATCCGTCTCGTTCTTACTCATTGTGTTTCCTATGACGTCTCTCTTTTTCTTATTTCAAATCTGAGTCGTGCGCCAGAAATATTGAAAAATTAGCGTCACATTTATTTAATCCTATTTTATCTCTGTCTCTTTCTCAATTATTCAATTTTCTATATCGCTGTGTCTCATTGTATTATTCCAGCTTTAAATTTTAGTTGGTCGGACAAGGATATTACATAGTCACTCAAGTGGCAGGAATAATGAAAATATGTATCATTCTATTATGCCTCTCTCTCTCTCTTTTTCATTGAATTTCTTGCATCATTATCTTTCTCTTATTATTCCAGGCTTTTGATTGGCTGACACAAAAGTTACATGAGCATCGAGAATAATCAAAATTCGTGCCACAAATTTTTTACAAATTTCCTTTTCCTACTTTATATCTGTCTCTTTCTTACTCATTGTGTTTTCTATGTGGTTTCTCATTTTCTTATTTTAAGCCTGAGTTGAACGTCGGAAAAGGTCCAAAAATTAGCGTCATTTTTTTTAAATCCTACTTTATCTGTCTCTTTCTTACTTATTCAATTTTCTATATCGCTGTCTTACACTTTATTATTCCAGGCTCTTAATTGGTCGGACAAGGACATCACGTGGTCAATCAAGCGCCAGGAATAATGGAAATATGTGTCATTCTATTATGCCTCCATCTCTCTTTTTCCATTGAATTTCTTACATAATTATTTTTCTCTTATCATTCCAGGCTTTTGATTGGTGAGACACAAAAGTTACATACAATTCCACTCAAGCGCCGAGAATATACAAAATTCGTGTCACAAACTTCTTATAAATTTCTATTTCCTACCTTATATCCGTCTTTTTCTCACTCATTGTGTTTTCTATGTCGTCTCTCAATTTCTTATTTCAAGCCTGACTTACTGGAGTCATCGGAAATATCCAAAAATAAGCGTTACATTTTTTTAATCCCAATTTATCTTTGTCTCTTTCTTACTTATTCCATTTTCTATATCGCTGTTTCCTACTTTATTATTCCAGGCTCTTAATTGGTCGGACAAGGAAATTACACGGTCATTCAAGCGCCAGAAATATTGAAAATATGTGTCATTCCATTATGCCTTCATCTCTCTCTTTTTTATTGAATTTCTTACATTATCTTCCTCTTATTATTCCAGGCTTTCAATTGGTCAGATTCAAAAGGGACATACATACAAGTTCACTCATCAGGCGCCGAGAATAATAAAAATTCGTGCTACAAACTTTTTACAAATTTCATTTTCTATTTTATATCCGTCTCTTTCTCACTGATTGTGTTTCCTATGATGTCGTTTCTCATTTTCTTATTTCATGCCTGGAGTGACTCGAGCGTCGGGAATATCCAAAAATTAGTGTCACATTTTTTTAATCCCACTTTATCTTTGTCTCTTTCTTACTTATTCAGTTTTCTATATTGCTGTCTCTTGCTTTATTACTCCAGGCTGATAACTGGTCAGACAAAGAAGTTACATGGTCACTCAAGCGCCAGGAATAATGAAAATATTATGCCTCCATCTTTCTCTTTTTCATTTAATCTCTGAGACTATTTTTCTCCGAATATTTCAAACTTTTGATTGGTCAGACATAAAAATCACATACAAATCACTCAAGCGCCGAGAATAATTAAAATGCTTTATATCCATCTTTTTCTTACTCGCTAAATTCCCTATATCTTCGTTTCTCACTTTTTTATTGCAGGGCCAGGTCTGTGTACCT